GCAAGATGTCCCGTTGGTTACTCTGACAAAATGGTTTGTTGTTTCTAGTTTTGGTGACCCTGACATTTCCTTCAGTTTGCTATTTGTCCGAGGTGTTGGTGAGACTTGCGTGAAGTATTTTGCACTGTGGATGGTTGATAATGGAGTGCTTATAGTGAGGGTACAGCAATGCCTTCATTCCCTTCGTCTGCCACCTGTAGCTTCTGTTCCTGGGAGTTTTCAATTTAATTGCTGTCCTGATAACTGCTGTCCACCCCGGGGCCAAGGGTGGTGATCGAAGTGAATTGGGTGCTCTCCCATCCACTTATTCTGCGCTACTGGGAAGTTACTGTGCTTGTCAGGAGAGGAAAAGTTGTATTTCTTCACATTTTTTTGCAAAATCCATGGGCTGATCTGCATGTAGAGGGGCTTCAGTCACCTTTGCTTGTGCCCATCATTTTTGCCACTGGTAAAGCTGGAGAGGGGATCCTCAGTGTCACTGCAGCCTGTTGGTGGTCTATCAGCCGTTTGCTTACTGTAGGCTCTGTGTTGGGTGTATTGTGTGCAAATTTTGTTAGCTTACAGCTGAGACTGTTTCATCTTTCTACCCCTGACTGAGCTGTCCCACCCTGTACTCCAAGCTTTCCTGAGAGCCAGGGTCACCAGCTGTGCCCCAGCAACTGAACCCACCACCTCTTGGTAGGCCAAGGTGTGTGTGGGGAGCATCTTCCCCACCTCCCCCTTGAGCCCTCCTTTGGGCTCATAGCTCCATGCTTCAGTAGCCTTCATAGTGTGCATTCATGGGGGAGAGGGGACTTCTTGGTTGGTTGGTTGTTTTCCCCCCCCTTTCTGTGTCCTCCTGCCTACCATCACCCTCTGGACATACTTGGTAACACAGTCATTGGCCTACCATTTATTACCTTTCCTCTGTGTTTTCATCATCCATTAATTGTGGCGTGTGGTCCCACACAATTGAATTTGTTTTGAATTTTCAGTTGTTTGGGTTTTTTAAATCTATTAATCAGGCCTCTCTGACAAAGAGGCCTGTGAGAGTTTTTGGCATAGTTGTGAAATACTGCAACTGTGAGAGAGAATTCATACCCTAGCTTTTTTTTTTTTTAGCACTTGGCTTTAAGAACTGCAGTCTCCTTCCTCTGATGTGAATTCCAGAAGACAAAGGATTTATATTTCCGTTTTTAAGTCTCTTGAAGCCCAGGCACCTTTTAAAGATCTTTATAAATGTGTGGCGTACGTTTTGGGTAAAAACAATTAATCGGGGAGGGCTCACGTGCGTTATTGCTTCTGTATGCCCTGGGAGCTTCTGGTTGGGCTGGCTGGCTGCCACGAACCCTCGTTGGCTGGCTGGCCAGCCAGCCTTCACGTCGGCCTGGTTTCCAGAAAAAGTGCTGTCCAAATCAACACATTCCCATGGAATGTTTTAGATTTCAGCAAAGCAACATTTTCCTATGGAAAAGCCTTCCCTCAGAAAAATCCCTGCTAGCCCTCGGTCAGGCGGCTTCTCGTGCCTGGGGGCCCTGCCGCACAACCAAGTTTCCTACTGGTTGTGTCATCAGAGGGAAAAACAGTTCCATCGCTTGCCTGGAGTGGAAATCGAGTCCCACTTGTCATTAAAAATCAATAGCGAATGCCCAGGAAGGGTTGGGTTTGATCAGGGGTGGCTCCTGGTTCCAGGTATCTGGTGTCACCCAAGCAGATACTCCTGGGCTAAACGCTGGTGGTTGTCAGGTTATCTCAGGTGCTGGTGTTCAGCAGATGTGTGAACACCTCATTTGCTCCCTGCGGTGGTACAGAGATGCCACAGGGACAGTGACTGTGCTTCAGAGAGAGGTGGATCCTCCGCTGGATGGAGATGAACCTGCATCCCTGGATCCTGTTTGATGGATTTGTTACAAATCCTCTTGCAGCCTGGATATCCCTTTGGCTGAGGGTATGCTAAAAATGATAGTACTTTCTGCAAATCAAACCAACGGGTTTTGACCTTGACAGGTTGCTGTTGGTGTTTCACGTGTTGTTTTATCCATAAAATAGATTAATCCCTGTTCTTCCAAGATTTTAGTTTGAAATCTTAGCTCTTTATGGTTCACCCAGATCCATCTCTCCCTTCCTCTCCTGCCCAAGTGCCCTGTGCTCATCTCTTGCTGGGAGTTAAGTCAGTCCAAACTTGTGCGTAACAAAAATGTATTAGATCACAAGTTCCTTGCGCTGATATGAAAGTTCAAACTAGTTCCTGCTTTTCTTCTAGTAGCTGTGTGGGGATTTATTAGAAATTTATATTACTTCAGTCAGTGTGTTTTGTTGATAAGTTTGGGGAAAAACTCTGCCATCAATAATGCTAAGTGAATAAATATTAACCTTGGAGCATGTATTGACTACAGACGGAACTTCAAAAACCAGATTTTGCATTTTTATTTTGCCTAAGTACAGAATATGCTGTTATTTTTCTAGGAGAGAAACCCACTCTTCTCCAGTAGCTTACAGGCTACACCGAAGAAACAATTAGTTTGAAAAAATGCCTGGGGTGGACCAAACGTGTGGGTTTTTTTGTTATAGATGGTCTTTAGAGGAATGAACTTCTACAAATGGTTTCTTAATCTGGAACAGGGAGAAAGCAGCTTTCGAACACTTTAAAGTGAGAGACAGTTTAACTCTGTCATTTCTCAACTTGAAGTACGTTTTAATAATTAATACCATTTGAGACTTCACGTGCAAAAGTTTGGGAACAGAGAGAGAGTTTATCCAACACAGGAACAGGCACAGCTTAACTTCAGCAGAGCCCTGCAAACACACAAGTTTGTTCTTTGAAAGGCTTGACCGGTCGCTGTGGTATATTATTTACATGCTTGAATTCTTTAGCTTCCTTCCCTGGGAAGGCACAGTTAATTTTCTCAGTTCATGTGGGTTTGTGCTGAATCAGATGGAGTTTTTTATGAGAGCCTTGGGCCTTTTTTCAAGTTGGAAAATAAGATAAATCACTATGGCTTTGTTTCTCTAGTGGAGACATTTTGTCTATTCAAATATATACACTTTTCCCTCTCCTTTCTTTAACCCTCTTCCACCCACATAGATGGATACAGCATCCTGACAAGGAATTGTTTCTATGGCTTCACTTCAGATCATCACCACTATTTTTTTCTTGGGCTTTTGCAAGGTATATGGTTGCCATACTGTGATTTCTGATTTCCATGGCGAAATTTGTACAGTGTAAAGACTACACTACGCCTTTCCACTTGTGGCTCGATGGGTCTTCTCCCAGAGATTGTTCCGGCCTCTGATGCACTATAAAACTGTGGGCCTGTCCTACAAGAGTGTGAATACCCTCAAAAGCTCTTGACCTTGGTGTGAGCTGAGGAGCTGCACTGGAAGAGCCGGCGCTTTCTCTAAGGAGTGCAAACAGTAGGTTACGTTAAGCCCCGTGGAGTGTGTGTGTGTATTCAGAGGGGTGCGTGCCCCAGCACTTAGGAACATAGACCTACTTAACTTCTTTTTTGGTCATTTTGGCCTCTCTCTCGCTCTCTTTCACCGCCCCTTTTTGTTCAGGAGTATTGAAGGCTCTTATTACTCGTGTAATTGCTTGGGATCCTTTTACAGTCTGTATTTTAGCACGGTGGAGTTTTTATATGTTAGCGCACAAGAGTCTCTGCAGAATACGGGTGAAAGCAGCGTGTTTTTTTTATATGGCGTTTTATCAGAACTTTGCTAATGCTGTCAGGGTAATAGACAACATCTGTTTTCCATTTCGTTGAGTTTTGTGTCAACTCGAGAGGAGACAAAAGTAATTTTGAACAGAAATGGCTTGTGGTGTTTGGTTCACATTTTGCATCCAAAGAGGAAGGTGAATTACCTTAAAAAGGCCAAATGCCTTACAGTAACCTCACTAAAGGCTATTTAGTGCCTTGCTTTTAGTTTGTTTGTGCTCAGATTTAGGCATAGGGCAATATTTTTTATATAGATAGCATAGTTTCATGACACCAATTTAGATAAAAACTTAGTGTTTTAAAATACCTGTGATTGTTTTCAAGAGTTAGAGGACTTTGAAACCCGTTTCATGACGATAGGTCATTCTGACCTCCTGCCAGTCTTTCTCTTGCTCCTGCCTTGAGAAGGCTGCAACAAGTCTGTCCCGTGTTTTTAGTTACTTCCCTTGGGTACTGGGCTTTTAAAATATTTGCTTCCTCCTCTTCCCTTTCCTGCGTTTGAATCTGTCCTTTGCCTTCAGCCCCACTTGTCGCAGGGGACGCCCCTCAGAGCCCACTACCTTGGGGCAGCCTCTGTGGGAGCAGAAGGCAAAGCCAAGAGGGACCTGGTGGTGGCCCAAGCTCGGGGAAGGACTTTGGGACAGACAGGCACTGGGTGCTCCAGGGCCTGTGGTGGCCACCAGCCTGTCTGGGGGTCTCCCCGGAGCCACTGTGGCCACCAAGTCTGTATGCATGGCCAAGATCAAGCTTCGTTAATGGTGGTGCTGGCAGGATGGCTTTGTTGGGTGGTGGGGTGACCTCTACCCATGAGGGGGTTTGGTGGACAAAGTGCTCTGGTGGAAGCACAGGAGCCACCCAGCGTCTGGCCAGGGCTTTTCTGGGTTGATGTAATAGCTGGGGGAGCACATTGTTACAGCTGAGTAAAAGCCAAAAAGCACTGGGGTTTTTAGCAGATGGCTTTGGGAAAAGGCGTATCTTTTGCTGTCCTGAGAATTCAGTAAATATCTTTGACATTGATTTGGGTTTTGTTTTTTTCATTATTTATTCCAAATTGCTTTTTTTTCTCTCTTCCTCTAAGAGAGTGTGGGTGTGTGCTTTGCAGAGGAGGTTTTTCCTTGTGAAGAGAATGGGAATTTTGAATCAAATTGACCTATTTTTAACATGAAATTTTAGATGCTTCTTGAAGGCAAAAAGTCCATGATGTTACATTAGCTTTAAAAACAAAACAGAATTCATGCAAACAGTAACTTATAATTGCTTAATGTAAATGAGATTTTCTTTACACTTATTTCTTATTACCTTTAGCACATCAGGTCCACCCATTTGGCCAGGAAGCACCTTTTTCAAGAGAAATGGAGCCCTCCTACAAGGTAGGTGATTGATATACTAAATCTTGGAGTAACTGTTTTACTTAATAAATACTTCTTGCAAATCGCACGGCTTTTGTAATATTCACTGGGCAACAAGTAACCAAATGTTTTTTGTTTCCTTTAACTTGTCTCCTTTATTGCGCATCCAGTGCCTTGAAAATGACGATTTACTACATACAGTGAGTGTAGTCTATGAAAGTTGCTGCTTTGTTTCTTTCCTCAGATTATTTATTTGCTTGCTGTAAAATATGGCAAAGGGTGGCTTTTTTTTTTTTTTCCTTTTCCTTTATGTGGATAAGGAGTGCCCAGAAGGAAATGTTCCAGGAACATGGCTTTTAGCTCTGTGGATGAAGTAAGGTTGTTCTTTGAGAGAGTTCTTTTCTTTTACTCCCTATTTGTGTGGGTAGCAAAAGGTACCTGAAGGTGGGTAGCGGTGCTGGGGGGGGGAAAACAGTGGCAGCAGAGTATTTGTCTCAAGAAACCTACCATGTTTGAGGGTGCTTATATTCCTAGGGGAATGTTAAAGATCTTATTTCCGTTGGATGGACAATATAAACAGAAGCTGTATGACTGCAGTTTTGATAGGTGAAGATTTTCAGCCTATCTTACTGTACTTTAAAAAATCATTATTCACTGCTAAGTGTGTTTATATTTCTGCTACTGAGTGCATGGAACTACTGTTGCTCTTAATGGGAGTGTCTTGGGAACACAGAAGGCTGTTTGCCCCGACTGCATGTGTTTGTCTGTGGTGCAAAAGTAACTTACATCATGTAGGATGATTGTATGGTCTTTGCGAGTATTTGTCCATCAAGCGTCTCAGTTTTGTGTTCATTCTCGTGGTGCCAAGAGTTTTCTGGCCTTCTCTCTGGTAGAAAAAGCAGCATAATGTTCTCTGGAACATTTATCCAAATTGCCTAGGATGGATTATTTGCTCACCAGCAAATAATTGGCAGGCAGTAACGCTCACCTTCAAGACTCCAAAGTAATCCAGCATCTGTAGTTTACCTAAGAATATTTTTCACCTGATTCCTTGTACATATCTAAGAATTTGCATCATTCTGTTATCTAATATCTATGCTGTGATTTGTTCAAACAAGTTTTAAATACATTAAAGCATTCAGATTATTTCTTAACACTAGGGGATGGCATAAATTGTGCAGTTTGGCAGAGTTTGGCTTTAGTCTTGATAGGACAGATCTGCTTCCTTTGCAGTCCTTGCCTTACTCACAGCTAGGCTCACCAGCAAATAATTGGCAGGCAGTAACGCTCACCTTCAAGACTCCAAAGTAATCCAGCATCTGTAGTTTACCTAAGAATATTTTTCACCTGATTCCTTGTACATATCTAAGAATTTGCATCATTCTGTTATCTAATATCTATGCTGTGATTTGTTCAAACAAGTTTTAAATACATTAAAGCATTCAGATTATTTCTTAACACTAGGGGATGGCATAAATTGTGCAGTTTGGCAGAGTTTGGCTTTAGTCTTGATAGGACAGATCTGCTTCCTTTGCAGTCCTTCCTAATGGAAAGAACTAGATTTTTTTTAATACACTTTTTTAAGGACAAAAAGCAGCTATTGTGAATGGATATGCTTGATTGGTTTTCAGTTGTTCACCAATTCCGGTTTTAAATGTGTACCTGCACACACACAGGCTTTGTAATTTGAGTTCATAAAGTGTGAACTACTCTGTCAAGTCTGTATGGCACAAATGTTTTACCTCTTCTTACGATGCAAGATACCCAGGAATTAATAACAACTGTTTTGTAGTCCTCCTTATCTCAGTTGTTGCTTAAAGCCTTGTCCTAATAAAGAGTACACTGTTCTCCACCCTCTTCTCTGCTCTCTTCTGCCTTCCAAATCGGGGGGAAAAAAACAACCCTAAAAGCCCAAAACTTTTCAGGATATTAAAGAAATAGAGACGAAGAGAGAGATGACTGCCTTTTCAAACAACTAACAAAGCCTAATGGACCTTTAACTGAGTTGGCATTCTGCGTTGCCATTTCAAGTGGAAAACCCAGCCAATTTGAACTCAAAATGTGCATGATATGACAGAGGTTAGAAGGATGAGAGAGTGTGAAGAAAAACCTCAGTAAAGTCATCTTGTAATGCTTCCTGGTTTTAATTTTAAAACAAGAAAATAACTGAACCAAGACTTTCTGTCTTTCGTTTTTCCCTACAATAAGCTCTTTCAGGTACAGGCTTCAGCAGGTTGCGTGGAAATAGGGCATCCACCTCTTTGCTGCTTCTGACTGTCTTTTTCTGGCAGACCCATGTAGAGGAATGGTAGTGGGTGCAGGGAGGTGTGAGATGAGGGAGTGGAGAGGTTTGATTGAATCTCTTTTTCCAGTGCTTACATCCAACTTAACGCAAACAGGAGAATGAAAAATTGCTCAATTACTCAATTACTGGTTTCAAGTTATAGCGCTGCCTTTTGATTGGCAAAAGTTCAGGTAACAAAGGGATTTTAAAGTATTTTGACTTGATGCATGTTTTGCTACATTTGAAAAGAATGTTCAATGTGCGTTATAGACAGTAATACCGAATAATTCTGAAATTTTAGTAAATGTGATACTCCTGTGCACTTGTCACACCTCATTTCTTCTGGGTTGTTAAGGAAAACGCTCTTTTCTGGTCTGGGGAATGAAGAGAAAAAAAAATCTGTAATGTAAGCAGTACTTTTTTTAGCCAAGAAAGATTAGTAGATGCTCCTGGTTTCCATTCATTTTATACCTGAACTATTTGGCAAAGTAATCTTAACCATTGTAAAGCATTTAACGGATCTCTCCAGAGAAAGTGACTGAGAAACCAGTTACCTGTGTACCGCAAAACAGCAAAGGAAGATAAAGGGAAGGTAGAATTCGTTGTAGCTAACCTGTGTCCTTAATGTCTTTGACATGAGCAGGATTAATTTTCTGTTCTTTTCTGGCTGTCTTTGCTTGTACTTTGTCGAAAAATTTTGAACAAAATATAGATATGTCATTTGCTTTTTGCCTATGAATTTATTAGCTATGAGATGACTACCTCAGGGGGTTTTTTGAGGATCATGGTACTGTTGTTCCTGGCATTAGCTCTCTCATCAAAACAAATGAACAATAAATTTGCTTTCTATTTGGAGTAAGTCACCTGCTCAGGTGCTTTTTGAAATGTTGTGCTCCTTCTACTAGGTAAGGATTGCTCCTTATATCTTGTGCTGTTTCCTCTTTGGTCTTCTCATGAAGTCCCATGCAGAGCTTAATCTAGGTAGGACCTTCAGCCTTACCAGTCTCTGATACCTTCTCCCAAAACTTACTTACGTATCCATGTAAGTGTACACATTGCTGCATTCTAGCCTTCAGGATTCCCAGATAGAACAGGTTTTTTTCTCTTACTGCTTTACTTTTTCTATTGGTTTTTGTAACTTGTCATTGTACATACTGTATTTTTGTTTCAAATCATGGCTTAATTTCTTTAAATCTGCTGTATGGACAGCTTTAGTGTACCCGCTGTTTTTTTCTGTTCTCAGCTGTCATAACATCCATTTTTATTTAATAAAATGTGACAGGAAAAAATCTTTATGGTGAAAAAGATTTAGACATATTCTAAACTCTTCAGGAACTTGTGCTGGGTGAGATAGGTGAGGACATAATGACATTAACTTCCAAGACTTTGAAACTAATGCATCATGTTCAGATAAGGTTAGTTTCGTTGCCTTTGCTCTGGTCTTGGGTAGTAATTTCATGTTATAGACTTAAGGGTGCAGTTGCTCACAGATCAATGGTAATAATAAAACTATTTAGCTCTCAATATATCTTAACGTTCTCCCTGAAAAAAATAAAAGTACATCTTCAAACTAACTTTTAGCAGCAGTCATGTGAATTCAAGCTGCTGTGCTACCCCTAAGATGTAACTGGACTGTTGGAGGGGTTTGGTTCTGTTTCTCAAAGATACAGCTTTCATTTTGAGGAAGAAAACCCCAACTTACCACTCCCTTTTTGTCTTATTTGCCCTCAGACTTAATTGAACTAAATGCAACATATTACTACATCTTCTCGTATCAAATTAGTTCTGTCCTGAGTTGCAAGGAAGCCAGTGTAGAAGGTGCTTGTGGGTGTAATTACAGCTGGCAGGGAGAGAGTCATCTGCGTCTGCTGTTGCTGCTGCGGTGGGGATTGAAACAAGAACTGGAGGAACTGCCCCAGAAGATGGAAGAGCCCCATGACTGGGCACCAGCTGACATAAAGTGGTGCCTTTTCTCTGGTTTACAGCAAGTATGTGTCAGCCAGGCTTAATGCCATTCCTGGGTAAGCTTCCTGAGTTTCTAGTCAAAGCCTTGAAGAAGGAGGCCCTGGTGGTACCACAATTAGTGATTCTCCGTCATCCAGCGAAGGAAAGTGAACCTAGTCCAGTCCCTATTGCTGTTGGAGCTGAAAATGGAGATAGCCCTCATCACTGTGGCTACATGGTCCACCTTGGGTTGCTGCTTCCAGAAGTTCCCAACCAACTGGAGGTACAGCCATGATCGCTGCCATGCTGTCTGCTTTCTTGTGTGAGCAAGGTCCTCCACTTCCTCTTCTGATGGTCAGTATAGTTTAAATCTGCTGCCTGCGGATGTTAAATCAAAGATACAAGCTCTTGCTCCAGAGATCCTGCAGATCAGAGCTCACACCTGTGAACAGGACTGTGGCAGTCAGTGAACTGAGTTCAGACTGCATGGCTTTCCCTTGGAGCCACGATTCCCTTTTAATTAGAATGGAAGAAAAGATTTGCAAAAATTCCTTCCCATTCACAGAACACAGGAGGGGAGGAGTGATGAGTTGTGTGTGGCCTCTGGTCCTGCTTGTCTGAGGGAGCCTGAGAAAGGAGAGATTGTCTTCCCCAGAGCTCATAAGCTGTTTTGTTCTCTCACTACCATCGGCTGCAGGGAACAGGCATCCTCATGCTCCAGAACAGAGCAAACGATAGGATGCTTATGTGTGGTTGGCGTGGCCTCTTCTCCTCTGCGATAGTGTTGTATGAG